TTACAAATTTTGTATATGATTAGCTTTCAATATATATAAGTAGTTTTCTATAGTATTTGATTGATGATAATGAATTTTTTTATTCAGCTTTACTTTTATGTATTATTTTTGAAATTGTATTCTGTATGAATTTATCTTCTACTTATATATATTTTACATAATTATTATTTAATACAAGTCTCTCTCTAAGACTTGGAAATCAGGACAACCGTCTAGAGCCCATTACAGAAAGGGCCCAAATAATTACACCTCTGATTTTCAAAAAGAAAAAATAATTAACTTTTAACTTTTTTTTTTCCTAGTTCAATCTTTACTTGATAACCACATATTTCAAGTTTGTATCAAATAAAAAATTAAAGGAGTTTTACATATTTCTAAATATGTATCAACAAATATTTTTTTTAATGAAAATACATGGAAACTAGAAAAAAAAATTACACTAAAACTTTCTTTTACCGCATTGAGATTCTTTCTTGATTCTAATACCTACTATCATGTAATAATTTTAGAGAAAATATTTTGTCATTAATAAAATATAGTATAAGATTTTATTGAAGAAGAAAATGTAATGCAACTTATTAAGTCTTGTTCATATTGTGTAAAAAAAATATTATTTTCTATTGAAATTACATGATGATTTTTAATATAATATTTAAATTTTAAAATACTTCTAAATAAAGGATTCTTATATATTTATCGTTCCAAGCTTATAAAATGTCAAGACCAGCTTGATATCATATTAAACATTATAGTTGAAATATTTATATCTTATTTAAATTATCATCTATTAATCAATATAATTAAATATATTTTTAATCATTTTTTATAAAAGTAAAAAAAAAAATCATAAATTTTATCCTATGCCATTGCCAATCTTAATTGTGTTTGAATGGGGAGCCATAATTGTATATATCTTTTATTGCCTATATGAAGAGAAAAAAAAGTATTTTCTATTTTTAATCATATATATAAAAAGTTGAGACGTTTCTGTATTCGTTTAATATAATAGATTAAATTATTATTTTAATAATTTTTATCCCGTTTTCTCTTTAATTAAAGAAATTAATTTTATGATATATCGATAATTATTTTCTCAAAAAATCATCATATTTCATTTTACTTATTTTATTTATGCTCATAAATACGATTTTCTAACCAAATAACATAGTCCGATGTTCATTTAGCAAGGGAACAGGGATTTAGTTATTTTAAAATTACAATACTGGTCTCTCTTTTTTTATTCTGCCTAAGGGTGTTATTATGCTACTGTAACAAATTTGAGGAATGTTTTAAATTAATTATTAATGTTGCAAATATTATAATTATAAATCTTCTCTTTGCTCTTGGTTTGGTATAGTAATAATTTTCAGATATCCTTTTTTTAAACATCTCGTCAATATTTTATATAACTTTTTTATCGCGTATTATTTATTATATTTATATTTATTAATGTTGCAAAATCTTGATGCTTAAAGTTGTGCTTGAATTTCCGTTGTGTTCCGTTTGTTGAAGTGGTAAAATTCACGTGCATAGAAACGTGATAAACGACCTTTTCCGAACACACCGTAACTCATTCCGTTATTGCACTTGCAGTCACAGCCACAGGGACATGGCATTACCGTTACTTTCTGCCCACAATATAACGCCGTGAACGGATGGCCGTTGTAGGAGCGTTTATTTGTGAGGATATATGAGCCGTCCGATGGATTGTTGAGTGAAGCATTTTGACAGTTATATCCTATCGCATGCCACTTCGACACGTGGCTACCGTACAAATATTATTACTCTCTATACACTCTCACAGGACGACACGTAAGTCCTTTTTTCCAGCTTTTAGGTAGTGTTTGTTTCGGGGGAAGTACTGTTTACGAGCAACGAAAGGCGAGAAAAGTATGTGTTTGTTTCCCGTGATTTGGAACGAAGGAAAGGCAAAGAAAAGGGAGGAGAAGCACTGTTGCTCTCCTCGCACAAAACCGAAGAAAGGAGCTGAAAGATACGTAGGATTTGTGAAAACCCGAAAATGCTCCTCCCATGCATGTGCCATGCAGCATAGGATAATCGATTATGGTTGACAGAATTTCGACGCTGGTGGTTGGTGTTGCTCACTGATTCTCCACGTTCTCCACGGGCTGGTGACTCATTCTCGACGTTACGTGGCTGGTGGTGGCTGCTGGTGCGTGGCTGGTGGTGGCTGGTGGGTGTTGGTGGTGAGTGATTGTGGAAGGAGCTCCTCCATTGAAGGTAAGTTTGATCTCATTTGTATATACGAAGGAGCATAATCGATTATGGTTGGCCACATAATCGAGGCATAATCGATTATGCAGGGTATTTTCGCTGCCAGTGGAACCCGGAAGGGCTCGTTCCCAAAATGCATTTTATGAGAAATATGCGAAATCAGAACGGGCCGTTCCACTTTTGGAACGGGCCGTTCCAGGTATGTCAATGAGACATGGCAAATGAGTCCAGAACGGCCGTTCCGAATTCGAAACGGGCCGTTCTGGGGTCATTAATTTGTTATTAATGATGGTTATTTAATACCGTTTATATATATATATATATATATATATAAAATATTAATATTTAATATATAATACCTTAAATTAAATATAATTATTTAATATTAATATTTAATTTATATATATATATATATATTAAATATTAATATTAAATAATTATATTTAATTTAAGGTATTATATATTAAATATTAACATCAAAAAGTGGAAATATAAAAAAAATAAAGTAAAACATGTTTATAAAATTATAATAATAACACTTTCATAAACATTAATAAAATAATGTTACAAAATATAATTATCATAATATATTTTGTTATTATTATTTATTATTATAAATATTATTATTTTTATTTTTATTAATATTAATATTATTATTTATTATAATTAGTATCATTATTATTTATTATGATTCTTATTATTTTTCTAATATTTATTATTATTCTTATCATTATTTATTATTTTTTTAGTAAATAAACCCTATTAATATAATTTTATTGTAATTATTATTAATTACAATAAATAATATTATACTCATTTTTAATCCAAGGGTAAAAGTGTAAATTATATATTCATCTCTTAAATTTTTATTTTTTATCTATCATTAAATTTAAAGCAAATATTTAAATTAATTTATTTTTAAATTAATATTTTATAAATTTTTTTAGTTAAAATTTATATATTTATCTTTTAATTATAATAATTATAAACTTTTTTTAACCTAAGGGCAAAATAGTAATCTTTCACAATTATCAATTAAAAAATTTATTTTTATCTATCACATCAATCAATTCATTCACAAACTTTCTCTACACTTTCCACTCACTTTCCCTTAATCCAAACAACCTCACTTTCCACTCACTTTCCCTTCAAATCTCTCCTTTTCCACTCTCCCTTTTCCATCTTCAAATCCAAACAAAGCCTTAAGATCCTCATGATAATCTACATTCATTTTTAGATATTCATTCCATAACCAATAGCTTCTCATCTTCTAAAAAATTAATTTCAGATATTACACTTATGTTTGAGAGAGATGAAAGTGAGACAAAAAAAAAAAAATAGAAAATGGAAATATTTTTATTTTAAAAAAATGAAAGAGAAGCAGAGAGAATAAAAAAGCTCGTTTATAAAGATAAGAGTTAAAAAATTATAATTTCCTTTTAATTAAAAAAAAAATCTCTTATTTTATATTTTAATTACATGTAATGTTAATATATATAAATTAATAAATTGAATTAATTTTGTGTTGTCTAAATTACTATGTTAACCTAGTAATTGGATGAGAAAAAGTTAAAGTAGTTAAAAACATTATTCTCATTGCGATTATTATTTTTGTAATCTTTTTTATCTTTTAAAAAAATTCTTGTTTTGTCTCATATATTATCAAATATCAACTTTTTTTATTTTAATATATGATTTTATCAAAATTTTAAATCGATATAAATCAAGGTAAACTTGTCTCAATCTTAACTTATTCTAATTAACTAAAATATATATTTTTAAATTTTCGTAAATTAGATAAAAGTGTCTTATATAGAAATAAAGAAAGTATACGCTATTTATAAATCAATACCTTATCTAAAACTTATTATCTTTTGAAAATTATATAAAAAATAAGTGTTATATATAAATATAAAGAATAGTTAAAATTGTTTTCCCATCCTCTTCTATTGTGTGTTGTGTGGTTCTAATTAAAGGATGTGAGTCATTTAACCATTGTTTGGAACAGGTGAAAAGAATATAACTGATCTGCAAAGAAAAGTCCATTTTTAAAACGTTTCCATCCTTTGTTTAATGTTATAGTACCCATGAAAAGAAGCATTTGTGCAAGTCCCATATAAATTTTTTTTTCTCAAATTAGAAAGAAAGGGAAGGAAAACAGCTTAAAAAACCCTTGTTTATATCATACCTTATTTCTTTATTTAGGATATGGATGTTACTTTAAACATTTTTTTCTCTTTCATTTCACTTTTTATGCAACAAACAAGTAATAGAAAATCTCTTTTATTTTATTTTCTTCCATACTTAAAACCTAAAAGAAATGATTAAGACATAGCATTCCCCTTGGTTCACGGTTGCTACAGTGTGGGTAGCCGACAGTGATGAAAGGTCAATAGGTATGACTTTAGAGATAGAGGAAGACAAAAGCCAAAGGAGATAAAGACTCTTGGGGCTAGGGGAAGCAGGCATCTGGATTAGTGGGGTACACAAATTCTTCACTTTTCCAAAATAACCATTACTACTAATTTTTTTTAACCAAACCATAATCATAATAACCACCCTTTTCATCTACTTTGTTAATAATAATAATAAGAATGTGAATAGTTATTGGTACTATTATTTTTCTATTATTGTCATGAGTGAATTGAAAGATGTACCTGAGGGTGAGGGGAAAAGAGGTAAATTAGATTTGATGGTATCCTACTGTGTAGTGGAGAAGTAATTAAGAAAAAACAAAAAGTAGACTAAAAGTTAAGTTATTACCCCTTCTTAGCTTAGCCTTACCCACATTTGTCTCTCTTCATGAAACAGAGCACTCTGTTTCTCTTTCTCTCCGCCATGCCTCGTCCAGGTCCCAAGCCTTACGATTGTGTCAAAAGAGCTTGGCACAGTGAAATACACCAACCCATCAGAGGAACTCTCATTCAAGAAATTTTCAGGTCAACCCTCTTTTCTCTCTCACCAACACACACAATCTTTTCTTACATTAATTTTTGCCTTTTATTAGTCTCTTAGAAAAGTAAGTCAAAGTTATAACTTAATTTTACAAAATCCCCTTTCAAATATGTGAATCACTATACACACTATCATAAACATATTTGATATCACTAATCTATGTAAAATCTCTGACAGAGTCGTCAACGAGATTCATGGGTCTTCTACTAAGAAGAACAAGGAGTACCAAGAGAAGCTACCCGTTGTCGTGCTCAGGGCAGAGGAAATTATTTACTCTAAAGCCAATTCCGAGGTAACCTTCTTCATTTTGCTTTGTTGTTTATATTGTGAAATAAAATGGAAAATGGAAATGATTTGAGGGTTATTTTTTTAGTGTTGAATAAATAATAATAGTAGTTACAATTCTTTTCCTTTTTGGGTAGGCCGAATACATGGACCTTTCAACACTTTTGGAAAGAACAAATGATGCTATTGATACAATAATTCGACGTGATGAGCATACAGAAACTGGAGAGTATTTGCGCCCTTGCATCGAAGGTATTGTAACTTCTTGTTTAGTCTCTTTCCTTGACCAAAAAAGGAGTAGCAACTAGGAAAAAAAAAAACCAAATTTTGTTCATTCTCATTAACAACTTTTTTATAGACATGTAAGGACAATATATTTGATAAGTTTTTTTAGGTGAATTATACGGTGAGGGGGAGGGATTTCTCATCATTATGAGGTTACTTTTAAAGGTAAGATAAATTATTAAAATAAATAAAAACTTAAAAATTATAAATTATATATATCATAATCATCTATTTATTTTAATAATATTTCTTTGGATTAAAAATAACTTGAACTTATTTATTTCTCATCTTAGAAAAGTTTTTTTTTAATAGAACTTTAGAAAAAAAATTATCTTTCAAAATTACATTAACAATATCAGAGTTTGAATCTAAAACTATCTATTATACTTTAACTCTCTACTACTAATTTGATGGTAGTGATTTAGAATCTTATAAAAGTTATGAAGTTAAGTATAATAATTTGTGGTTTTTTTTAATGTGAAAGAAAACAAATGTAAGTTCTAATATAACGGTTTGTGATTGAATGTCACATTGATCCTTTATACATTTGGTATGGCTCAGCTGCTTTGAGTTTGGGTTGTTCCCTTACAAAAACTTCAAGGAGTCAACGCAACAATCAAAGATGTTATTTAAGTCGCAACAATGAAGGGGTTCCCAATCTTTCTCATGTCACGAATATAGAGGCTCATAACACAAAGTCACAATATGTGTGTGAGAATGTACCTTCAGGTAGTAAAAAGCAGTGCGTGGAACATGAAGGGCAGCCAAAAGTTTATCCTCTGTACCATGGGAACAACATCCAACTTGAGAAGCCCCAACATGCGTTTCAAGTATCACATGTTTCTGTTTCTCACAATGGTGGACCTACCCTTATGGGTGGTGCTAACAATTTCCTAACATATAACTTACAAGGATCCCAATCATTCTTTTTTAGTGGCGGTTTTGACAACTCATGCACCAACAAATGTGATCTTTCGTTGAGGTTAGGACCCCTTTCTGTACCTTCCCATAGTATTGAAAATGGTCAGATTCAGGTAACTGAAGTGAGAAACAAGTTAAATGTTGGAGCCTCCCAGAAGGGTAAAAAGTTGGAGCTTAGAGGACAATTCCGTGAGAGTGCAACCAACAATAGTACGATAAAAGAATGCAGATTTTAGAAGTTTGTTTGCAGCCTTAGGTAGTGTGTATGTACTAACTTTGAGAAAGTGTGGTCTCTAGACTTTGTGCTTTGCTATGTTTCTTGAAATGGTTAGGCCTATGCATTTGTGTAATCTAGATGTTCATCTCAACTTTGTTTCTGTAAATAACAACTTCCATCGAAATTATAACTGTGAATTAGTGTGTTGGTTTTGCATAAATTATGCACGTTTTTGTAGTAAGTTTGATTTTGCATAAATTATGCACCATTTCTAGCGAAAGTGTGTCAAATAAAGGGGAATGACGAAATTGATTTTGCACAAACCATAATTCACTTTAAATTGTGGGTTCTCTAGCTTAGTAAAATGTGTCATTTCCAACTTAGGTAACTTGAGAATTTGCTATTTTGTGATCATGAATGCAGAATGTTATTTGAGGTTGAATAGTGACCTCCCAAGGAATTTTGGACTATATGAAGGTATCTTTAATTGAATGATGTCGACGTTGATATTTAACAAAATAGAGTTATCTTAATTTTGCTTGGTTGGTTCTCGTAGCTGTGTTGGTGATTGATTAGTTATTATTATTGATTTAATAATCAAAATATAATAATTTTAAATTGGGGCATCACAAAACTTTGTTAAAATTTCAATTGGTCGCATCTCGAACGAGTCATGACATTAAATGTGGGACAAGTTGAGAAAGGGAAAGGTAAAGAACGTAATGCTTCCCTTAAAATCTCTTTGTAGGACTAAACTAGTGAGCAATATTTACGGGCTCAATAGAATTTTGTAACGTAAATTAATAAGGCTATGTGCTTAAATACCGGTCGCATGATATAATTAAATCAATTAAATAAAGTTTTGGGAAGTTTGGAATTGGATGTTGTTGGACTTCGGGTTCATTAACTTTTTAATGTTTTTTTTTAACTTATGCGAGTTCATTTCATCATCTTGAGTTTTATAAATTATGCATATTTTAATTCAAATAAAATTCTAAAAATATGTTTTCTTTCTTCTCTTTTTTTCTTTTCTGTTTGAGAGTTAAGATATATACTTTTTATTATTTTAAAATTTCAAAATTAGTTAACCCTCAATCAAATAATTGTGTCAATGTATAGTAGTTAATATCAATTATATTATATAATGTTAAAATTAATATTGAGTAACTGATAATTTAATATTGTTTTGAATTGATAGTTATATATATTAATGATTACATTGATTTGTAATTATGAGACTAAATTTATTAAATTACCTGTCATAAAAAAATAATAGTATGTAATATTATTAATTTATCCCTAAAAAATATTATTAATTTATAATAATAGATTAACAAACTTTTGGCTAAAACTAAAAAAATTAGCTTTAGATGTAAAAATAATTGTAGACAATATTAAATATTTTAAATAATATATAACTCATTCAGGTAATGATAATATTATTTTTTATTTTGGTAAAATATTAACTCTAATTATCCTATATTTATAATGTAATGATTGAGTGGTACACTATGTTGTTGTCATCTCATATTTCTAAAGATTTTAACTTCTTCCACGTCAACATTTTTTTTTATGCGGCATGTTTTTCTCATTTCACAATTTCTTACATTTTTTTTTATTATATAGAGATTAATACTTTTCAATTAAAACAAATAATGTAAATTTTGAGTCACAGGCTATGATATTGTCATCTCATACTTTTAGAGATTTTAGGTTCTTCCACATCAATATTTTTATTTATGTGACATGTTTTTCTTATTTCACAATTTGCTACGTTTTTTTATTATTATATAGAGGTTAATACTTTTCAACTAAAACAAAGGAAATGAATGTGTTTTATTCATTATTAATCACTCATTAAATTTTTTTGTCATTTTATGAATACTCTCTCTTTAACTAATTACTTCCTATATTTTGTTAGTATCTTTTTCTTCTTATCTAATCATCCCCTATTTGAGCCATACATTTTTTTTTCTTTTTATTCATCATTTCTTCTTCTTCTTCTCTCTCTTCTTTACTCTTTAATAATTTCATTTGCTACGAGATTATGTCTAACATTACATCAAGGTTAGTTGTTGGAGTACATAATGAAACTAAATAGATTGACAAATAACAAATATTTCAATTTATCACATTGTGAAGATGATATTGTAATTGAATATTTCTAATGATAGTTGAATAAATATAAAAAAAATATATATAACTTTTTTTATATATTATAAACTTATGTGAATTCATATCATATTGTTGAGTTTTATAAATTATACCTATTTTAATTCAAATAAAATTCTACAAAGATGTTTCAATTATTGTGTTTTGATTCAATTTTGTTAGTTATAGTTTTTAGGCTTTTAAAAAGACAATAAAATATAATAAAACTTGATATACTTAATTTGATTTTAGAGAAAATATCTTAAAATACCCTTTCCAAAATATTATACACAACTCTATTAAATAATCTTTATTTTAATAATTTCTTTAAAAAATAGAATTTAAAAACTAAAACTTAAATTATTCAAATATTATACCAACTTTATTAATCAAAATTCTTTAATTTTAAAACTAAATTTAATTGTTAAGGTATTTCAATCTATAAGTTTAAACAAATATAATAATCTAAAATAATTCAATTTCACATGTCTAAAATAAAAATTAAAAAATTATAATATTTCAATTTCACACATCTATAAATAAAAAAATAAAAAAATTTCATTTTATTTAAACTTAACGCATATTATATATTTTGGTAAAAAAAAATTAAATTATTATATTATAACGAGTATTATTTTATTTGACGAGGAGTATATTTTGATGCACATTTATCATTGAAATTTTACCTTCAATTGGTTTATTCATCCGTTATTCCAAGATAACACAAATTAACCTCTTCTCGGTTTTTAATACCACCATCCACAAATTAACACATCATGATGATTGTTAACTGGGAGTTGCTACCTCAAAGATTGAGGGATTTAATACATTTTTCTATGCAAACTCATAAAAAATTTTAAAAAAAATTAATTTAATTATAAAATAAATAATCCAAATTATACATATAAAATAAAAAATAAGATAAAATTATAGGATTTCAATAATATTATAAAATATTAAAAAAGAAAAAAATTAATAAATAGTAGAAATAAAAAATTATTAAAATTACAATATAAAAATTCAAAAATTTAAGACAAAAAGACAAAAAATATACTTAAAAAATTATTAAAATTAAAATATAGAAATTCAAAAATTTTAAGTGAAAAGATAAAAATATACTTAAAAAATTATTAAAATTAAACTATTTAAATATATAATAATATTATTACAAATAAATTAGAATATATAAAATAAAAATAAAATGACTAAATAATTTAAAAATTAAAAGAATAAAATATCATAAATATTATTTAAATAAATTATTAAAAATATAAAATATAAAAAATTGTACCGGTACCCTCTCAAATAAAATGGGTACCATAGAATTTCTCTTGTTAACTTCAATATAATTGGTGAGGCCAAGTTGAAAGAAGTGAGTAGAAGGGTTGATATTTTTAAGATGTTTATGTTTTATTTTTGAGTTGTTATATTTTTAATATATAGTTATTATTATTATTATTATTATTATATATATATATATATTATCATTCATATTTGTAAAAAAAAAATTCTCTTTTTTCATATATCACCTACATACAATATTTTTAATAACTTTTTGTAATATCTCTATCAACATCACATATTAGTTATTGTTTTTTTCTTTATTTTTTTTTCAATTTCTTATTTTATCTTTTTTTTTTCTCGCGTCACTTGTATTTTGTATATATTTTTATTCCATTTGAGGGTTAAGATATATACTTTTTATTATTTTGAATTTTCAAAATTTATTAACCTTCAATCAAATAATTATAGTTAATGTTACAATTAATATTCAATAACTGATAGTTTAAAAATTGTTTTAAATCAGTAGTTATACATATTAATGATGGCATTGATTTGTCATTAAGAGACTAAATTTATTAAATTACTTGTCATAAAAAAAATAGTAGCATGTAATATTATTAATTTGTTCTTAAAAAATATTATTAATTTACAATAATAGATCAACAAACTTTTGCCCAAAATTAAAAAAAAAAAAAAGTTTTACATGTAAAAATAGTTGTACACAACATTAAATATTTGATATAATATATAACTCATATATGTGATGATAAAACCATTTTTTTTATTTTGGTAAAATGCTGAAATAAATTATTTTATAATTTAGTTATAGGATACACACTCTAATAAATTATTTTACAATTAATTTGTATATATTTTTGTTAAAAGAGATAACCTCTAAATTCAATTTTATCAAATAAAAATAATTTATATTTTATAAAATAAAATAAAAACACTTTTAAAGAAAAAAATAGAAACAACAATAAGTCTACTAATATGTATTCAAGTAAGATTTTGTCAAAAATTTATATTCTCTTTAAAAAAAATTATCACGTAAAGATCATAAAGTTTATTAAAATTACGTTACATAAAAGAATCACATTTAAAATTAATAAATTAATTAAAAAAATAATATATTTTAATATGTTTTTTAAATATCACTTATTTAAATAAATATTTATTTATTTAGCCGTACATCGTGCGAATTGATATCTAGTGTTAAATAATAGTTGAAGAAGAATAAGACGATCTTGTGTATCGTTAAAATTAAAAAATCGGGAACAAGAATTCTAGCTTCAGCTCCCGTAACCTCGCATCTTGCTACACAAAAGAAATATGCTATCAAAGCAACATCATCATCGCAGGGATGGCATCTTTTTGTGGATGAAAATTAAGAATGAGAAGAAATTGGGATGAAATGATTTTGATTTTTTACCTTGAAAGAATTTATTAAAAAAAATATAATTATGGATAAGAACAACTGGACAAGCATCACTTTTTTATATATACTAACAGCCCCTTTCAATTTTTTTTTGTTCAAACCCACCCTACAAAATAAGGACCACTCCCAAAAGGATGCTTATATAATGTTCTTGATCTCCAATTTCAGTAAAATCATGGCATGGTTTTTGAAGGTTTAGAAGCTGTCACCAAATAGCAACACAACTGCCAAAATTGAATTTCTTAAGAATTAACATTTTCCAGTTGTAAGAATTGGTCATCAACAACCAACAAAAAACATTCTTGGCGCTAATTTGACGTGGAGGTGCATATCTTCTCTAGCTAAAATTGCGACCACACACATAATTCGACATTGTGGTAATTGGCAGCGTAATTAGGCTTCTCAAGACTCACTTGTTAAGAGAGACCACAAAGAAGAATCAGTTGAAGTGGACGATGATAATGAAGAGCTATAATGGAAATCAATCTGCAATTGTCGATGAAGATAAGGACTTGAAACACTCCATTTCTTCTCCTCCTTCTCTAGTTGCCAAAGTGGTATAGCAACTAGAAATCGTTTGATGAACTCTTTACAACACTCTTTTCCACGACAAATTATCTCACGACTTGCACCCTTTGGAGGGACCTCATTTGCCTTGTCTTTTTTCCCATACATCACACTCGAATCATCAAACTTCAGTATGAATGCTTTTTGACACCCTTCAGAAAGTCTCTCCCCCAAAGAGTCAATGATGTAGTAAGCGTTTTCTTCTACCTTCAAGACAAAGAAATGATCGTTCCAACTCACTATGTAAATCATTGGCTCCTGATCACACACTTTGCTCTTTATCTCATCCCAAATTCCATCAAAAGACATGGCTCCTTTCAAGCATTGGAACTTCTCAGGAGAGAAAAATCCTGTGTATGATTTCTGAGGCAGAACAACCAGAGGTCTCACATTGGCTTCTATGATTGTCTCTAGATCAAAATGTTTATCTGGGAAGAGCTGAGAGTAGTAATCATTGTTGCACAACCTTCTCCATTCAGATGAACCTTGTGTGATGAGCCTATCAAATTGCGCTCTTGTTGGCATATCATGGTTGAAATGGAGCCAGTGAGCTATGAGCGCAACTAAAACCGTGCATGCACTCTCACCAGAAGCTTGTTCACTCCTTTGGTCAAAGGAAGCGAAAAACACATTGGTTTTGAGCTTTGCTTGCCTATCTCTACTTGAAATCTCCCTGTATTCCCAACTTCGTGCACCATCTTTATGGTTTAATTGCGGAGAAAGTTTATCTGATTTCTGCAATAAGTTAACAACAACATCTGTTATAAGTCTAGTTAATCTACCAAAAAAAGGGAGTAAGCACCCATGAAAGGCACCGTCATATTCATCTATAATTCAAGACCAATTTGTATGTCTACTCACCAAGAATGTGACCTATAATTGTTTTGCTTATTGCAATAATAATAAAACTCTTTGAAGTAACTAAAGGATAAGGTGAAGTAACATACCATGAAAGGACTAGGATAGGAAGCTATGTTTTCTTGTTTGTTAGTGGTTGTCCTAATGTTCCATCCATTGAGGCTTCTATTTCGTGGCAACTGGGACGAACTCAAACGAGTCTTTGTCTCTGAGCTTGTAAGCCTCTCAGACCTATCTGTTAGTGTTAAGCGTGCATTGTGGATTCCACCACTCTTGCTACTACCACTGCTTGTGGAGGACTTGTTCGAGTCATCCGAGTCAAACACGGGAGAGCTATCCGACTCATAAGGACTCGTTTCTTCCGCTTCATCAAACTTGCCATTGTTTTTCTTCCCCAAGCTTGTCAAATACAATACTTTCTCTATAATTCCACGTTTCTTTTGTGATTTGACACGATTTTCAAAGGGTGTTGCTGACGTTGAGTCACCATTTGAATCTCTTAGCTTCAATAACTTTAAAGAGACCTATCGAAAAATGTTACACAGTGAGAAAGTGTTTTTATGTTAACAAAAAAATATATATATACACATTTGTATTTTTTTTTTTTTTGCCAAAAAAAATTACATTTGCTTGAAAAAATATACAATACTATGTTATTAATAATAAATTCCAAAAAAAAAGGACTTCACACTTCTTTTCAACATTTTATTTCTTTTTATATGAATTGGTATATTAATCTAATTAATGCAGAGTAGATGCGTAAAATTTATTTGGTGGGCCGGACTAAGAATGAAGTGATTTTATATTGTAATTCAATCATAAATTATTTTACACAATAACTTTATTAGTTTTAAAATAATTATCTAAAAAAATCATCTTAACCAAATTTCTGATCAATTCACGGTGTAATATTTTTTAGTTTAATAATGTGTATGATAGATGGATTAGAGTAAAGACAATATATTTTCAAACAAACTTAAATTTCAATTTAATAAAGTCCAAGTCCCTTCGACTTATTTTCTCACCTACACATTTCCTAAAAGTAATATTTAGAAGACAAAAAAAAAACAGAAAGAAAAGACAAATTTTTGTATAATCACGGTCAAATTACGTTATTTTGAAAATGGATTGCCACAGAATTGATGGACTGAGAGACTCGAGCCGAGAGTCATGACTCATGAGTTCAAACAACGAAATAGGACACTCGTAATTTGTTTTTAGAGTTTGTATCCACATAAACAAAGAAATTTAAATGAAATAGCCAAGTATTTTTATTTATTTATTTATTAATTTTCAGTGACGAAATAGGCAGATAATTTAATTTTGTTGTTTCGATGTTCGGTGTAAGAAATGGGCTTGACTAAGAAAGGGGAAATAAATAAAAAAAAAACATACGATTCATGAGTGAAGAAAAGGCAAGGAAAAGGAAATTGGAGCATACCAAAAGGGTAGCTTCTATGCATAAACCATTGACCCTGAATTTGATTGGAAGCCTTCTCTGAAAGTGACGATGATGAGAATTGGACTCCGTCTTCTTGTCCTCTCCGGCCACGACCTCCGCCACGGCAACGCTCATTTCCACTTTTCCGACCACCGTCATTTTGCCTTTGGATTCTCCTCCCTGCATTTCATTTTGAAACTAATTTTATAAATAAGAAAAAGAAAAAAGAAAAAAAAGAGAGTTACTAGTGTTGTCATTGTGGTTACATATAAGACATGAAATGCGATGTGGCAAACATGGAGGGAGGCGTCTGTGAGGAGATGAAAAGCGCAGAGGTCGCGCGTGTCCCACACGAGAGAGGACGATTTGGAAGTGAGGAACCTAGGAGCCGAGGTGGTGTGAGTGTGTCGTTTAAGCGAGAGCGGTGTCGTTTTGGGCTTTCCTTTCTTGGTGGCAATCCCCGTTATTTGAAGAGCGACCTTGTCGTTTGCAGCGACCGACCTGGCTCCGAACAGTCCCAATTCGAGCCTCACTTGGGTGAGCTTCACGGCGTGTTTGTCCGACAACCTCGTAGTCCAGCACTTGATGGCCGACATGTCTTCGATTGTTGCCTCAATCCATAGATTGAATTGGGTGATATGTGTGGTTTTGAAAATGAAAAGGCCAATATAGAAATAAAGAATGCGCGGAGTGGGAGTCAAAGAGAATGAGTCACAGCTCTGAGTTTCTATATTTCCGCGTCACCGGACCGCCACGCTCTTCACCATTTAATAATTAAAGAAAATCACATTATAAAATAATTTAAAAAACACTAGATGACATTTTTTGTGAAATAAACAACTATTCTTTTATATATATAATTAAGGATTAGGGTAATGAATGCTTTTAATTTTTAAGAATTAAAATTACAATTCCGTTGTTATGTTTACCTTTTCTTTTTTTAAAGATTGTATTTGATAAAATATTATAGTTTTTTTTTCCCTTTTTTATCTTCACTAATTTGATTTGAAATATTTTTTTATTTTTTAAATTTAGAAACTTTTTTGTCTGCCATGTTAATTACTTTTTTACTCTCATTACCAAATAAATAAATAAATGTTATTTTACATTAATCAACTACTCTATCTAATAATCTTATCAAACACTTTAATTCAATTAAAATTTTATCAATTTAAGGTGTGTACTCTAATGATAATTTTTAGATAAAGTATATATTCCCCCGATTAAAATAACTTTTAAATCACGATTTTTATAAGTTTATGAATATATATATTTATGTCATTTTTAACTATTACATAATATATTATTAATTTTTATTAAATAATTGTAATTAATTAGAAAGTTTAATAATTTTTAATTAAAAATCATTTTCCATCGTTTAGTTAGTTCGTCTATTATTTTTGTCAAACAAAATTTAAATATAGGAGAAGGTATTAGTTGATTTAGTTCCCATAAATGGAGAACCGACCACGGTCTGAATGACATTTATATTTATGATACAGGTGAAAAACTAATACAACTCCAAAGTAAAGAGAAAGTAACATAATTAGCTTTAAGAAGTGTAGTTTAAATTATGAGTAAATAGTTTATATTATTCTTTCGATATTAAAGAAATCATTATTGAGAATATTGTTGGCGGGAAAAAAAAAATTTAACTGTAGTTATTGGGTTTCATAAAAACAAAGGTTTATGAAAATCCAGAAAAAAGACAAGGCAAGGTTTAATAGGAAGGTTCTGGACATAGTGTGAAATTGTTGAAAGGGGTGGGTATTGTGATTTGTGACTGTGATTTGTGAATGTGGGTTCATACTTGGCAATGGCATGGCACAGTGATGTGACACTACGTAGCTTATTGAGTTATTGGGCAATGGATAATTTGCCAAGCAAAGACTCGGTTCCCTTGCACCCCACTTCTTCTCCTAACCAACCCTCACCTTCAAACAAAAAACAATAAATACAAAACCCAGTTATATAAAATTCACTTTCATCAAACAAAATTGTTATATAAAAAAAATGTTTTGTATCAAGAAAGTATAGTTGAGTAAAATATGTGACTATTATAAATATCTTTAATATTTGTGTTCGATTCACATGGATAAAAAAAAATATATAAAATGTTGTGGAAAAATAAAGCATAACTATTATTTCAATATTTTTATAATGTGAAAAATTTATGTGTCTTTTCGTCACCTGTGTCGGGTTTTTGTTTGGTGCATTTAAAAAGGTTTCGGGTTTACTACGTTGTTTTGTTTGGTCTTAGATTGGGCTGCGAAATGCAAATGGGCCCTTATGGTCCAACAATCACATTAAAGAAAAGAAAGGGCTCAATTGTAAAAAGAGTGGTACTATTTGGTAATTACACATTGCACACTGGTATGTATCAGCATAACATAACAAATTATGATGGTTACTTTTGAGTAATACTAAAATATTATTGGTGGAAAATTAAATAATGTGATATTCATGTTGAACTAGGTAGCAATAACAGTAAGGAGTAGCAATCAATTCATGTTGGGGTGGCTAAGTTTGGTATTTTGGAAACCCGAAGAGCAATATACCACATTTTGATCTCGTTAAGACGATGAATACATATTTATATGGTTATGCAACTGGCCTTTGTGCATAAAAAGAGTCACCATTTTTCAATGCTTCACTCCTCAGACTTATATAGAGATGTGTATTTTTTTTTCTTTGGATTTTGCTGTCAATTCTAGCTGTGCTGTATATTTTCTATCCATGATAGGGATACTCCGAGATAAAGGAATGGACTACCCCCACTCCTACCAAAATGAGACACAAAAAGTGATTCAGCATAATAAAAGTTGGTTTTATAATGAAATGAAGATAAGAAAAGTGAGAGAATGAAATGATGTGTAAAATATATTCTCAATTACAAAGTGGTATAAAAAATAAATTAAGTACATTAATGGGGATAAAATAAAATAAAATGAAATGGGAGAGTGAGTTGTTTTGACTTAATAATTCACTTTTAGTGTAATATTCACTCCAAACACGAAAAATACAAAACAATTTTGTAGTACACAAAACCTTTGCAAACGTCTAGAAAGGCTATCTATCAATTTGCCTTGGGACATACTCCACGGCTATTGACATGGGCACACAAATGTCCAGCCAACTTTGACCATTTGCATAGTTTAATTTTCTATATTGTGAAAAAGAAAAGGATATAAAAAAACATAAAACAAAATATACATGAAAGTCAAACACTCCAAGGCAAACATGTATTTCATTCACACCAAATCAACTAAGACATCTATTAATGCATATGAACACATCACATCATATATCATATGCAAACACCTCAATTAATGCGTCATCACGCATTCACCCACAGAGATTTCCTAACAAAGTGATTAGTTTAAGTGATTTCATCTTACCGAACCAGTCTAATCGTTTTCGCATCCAAAATGTCGACTCGATCACAACAAAATGGGGTACTGATCTCTTATCTCGATTCTCAAATATTGTCACTTACACTAAGAAAGTTTGATTTCACTATTAGGAATAATACATCTGGGTATAGACTTATCATGACTTTGGCATGCATTACCAAGTTATGTATGAAGTTCGCCCACTGATTATCCTCAAGGAACCATGCAACTTTTCCAGGTACTTGATTAAGGGTTGTAGTCCTTAACCTCCTACCTTACTCAACCATTAACTAAGGACCTAGAGGAAACTCAACACATCTCAAAATTCACTCTAAGAGACATACTTAATCAAAGAGGGTTTTCCAACAATAGCCTATCCAAGCACCACTTCAAGATTTCCTATGTGAGATCTTCGGTTTTTAAAACATTTTCCTCTCCTTAAGTCCTAAGTTAGCCAACATGTCTTAATGTCATATTGTATTTTTAGCATCCACACCTTATGCATACATCATCTACATACATCACATCTAATCAATACATATAGAGATCAACAACATCATACAAACATATAACATACATATGCTCACCATCATCCAATCATTTATATATGTCATATCCAATCAACATCATAAAACTACAACTTTCATAATTTACACAACATGCAATAGAGCCCATACATCTATTCATGTTTACCATACAACCTTTCAAAACACAACCATCATTAAGGCATCCCACACCCGGCGCCATCGAGGCAAGGAACTCTCTGCCTCGCTCAAGCTTGACGCCATCCAAATCACATCTAGTGTGACCGAGGTGGAGATCCCTTGGGACCCCACGTTTGACGTGACCAAATCCATGCTCGACCTCATATCAGATAGAAAGTCTCTACCTGACTCTTGCTCGAAGTCACCTCAATGACGCCCAACGTCCTTTAAGTAGGGAGTCTCTATCTTGATCATGCTTAGCGCCATCCAATTAAGGTCCAACATCACCAAGTCAAAGACTTTTTCACTCTATCACGCCTGACTCCATTCAAACTACGTTTAGCGTCATCCCAACCCGAGACAAGTCTCTTTCCTCAGTACCTAGGGTGATTGATCCAACGTCCAATGTGAATAAGACAAAGACCTTTTTTTTTTTTATAAATATATTATTTTATTTATTTTAAGTTTTTTAAAATATTTTATTCAATATTTAATTTTTTTCTTATAAATTCATAATAATGTCTTTTATATTAAATAAATGAATATATCAAAACGAAAGAGAGTTAAGTAGATATAACATCTTTTAGCTTTCCAAAATTTCGAGAATACAAGCTGTGATAATTTGATATACTCGAATTTCTTGATTGATTAATTTCTATAATCCTGTTATAATAAAAAATAATGATTAAAAGTATTCAAATTGATTGACTTGAGTGTTGTCAATTTTACAACTTAGAATGCATTAATTGTGATAGTTCATAAATTCTAAGATTTAATAAACATAAAACTAGAAAATTTCAACACAAATATTTTATACTAAAGAACTATGTGACTTTGATTTTTCATTACACATGAAGTGAAAATAAATCATTCATGTCGAGCCAAAAAAATAAAAAAGTAAAAAAAATTCACAACAATAATAATAATTTTCATTTTCATTTAAATAAAACAAATTCACTTGTTAAATAAAATATATTTGATTGTCATAGTTAATCTTATTAATAGGGTGAAATATTATGAATAATTTGTTTAATTAATTAGAGGTAATTGTCTTTATGATAGAAGTTATAGAGTGATAATACTTTTTCTACACGCAATCGACTCTGGAACTCAAAATCTAATTATGTAGACTGTAATGACCCATTATGATCTCTAGCTACATTATGTGAAATCACTACTAGCCCACAAACTAGTTTATTAGAATTATAAAAGATTAACTATCAGATATATGAACATACTATATAATAGGAATATGAAAGTGCAATCATTATACGTATAAAAATCATATACATGTATGTAAAATAATCCCTAGATAAACTATATAGCCTAGTGTCGGTCAAGCACACCTATACAAGCTATATAACATAGCATCGACTCCAACAAAAGTCCCTCCACTCACCAACAATCGCTCCTCTAGCCTAGTCTTGATCTGCTCTCATATAACGTATAATCATTGCAATCCAAACCACATGTAAACAAAAGGGTAATTTAGAGTTCGAAAACATGTAAGCATGGAAAACAATTATATACCATTCAACATCATAGCAAAATATACATGAAAGTCAAACACTCCAAGGCAAACATGTATTTCATTCACACCAAATCAACTAAGACATCTATTAATGCATATGAACACATCAC